TAGGCATTTATTTAAACAAATACTTTATGAATTTTGGAACCCGTAGATCTTGTATAGAAATTATTTGGATATAATTTCTCGATTTGGGGAAATGTCAATGTTGACAGCGATTGTAGTTTTGTGGAGTGGACTGTATTGAATATGTATGTAAATGTAAATAAATGCTAGCGGGAACACAGTTAACGAAGAGGAATCGAGAACTATTGGAATTAAATTCTCACTGTGGCTATTGCATTTATTTATTTATTTAAACACACACTTTTGGATTTCGGCACAGAAACACAAATGTAGAAAATTTGGAAACCGAATTATTTTGAATTTGGAATTGGAAATTATGCTGCCGTGTGTCGGATCAATCGGACTTGGATTTAGACAATAATCATACAGAGAAGTTAAGACGAATTGAGTTTCGCAAAACCTAACTGTATGACCGGCAGCAATAATGTAATGGGCTTATCTGGTGCGGTGTTAAAGCCACCGGAGCTGCTGGTGGATGAAATCCGGCTCGAAGGACCAAATGTTGGAGGGGGGCGGCTTTAAGCTGAAATGCACTCGAAATAAGAACACGGAGACTTGACGGGGTTTTACGCGACGTGCGTCGATGTTTATAAGTAGAAGGAGTAATTGGTACTAAACTATACAAAAGAAACTAAAGCTAGGGAGAGCGGATTGGAAGCTCTAGGACTGGAAGTCCGGAGGAAGAGGGAGAGAAAGGAGAGCGTTCGGGATCACACTGCCTCCCGAAATTGAGCGCCTTTCTGGCGTGAACAGTAGGAATGGGAGAACTTTGAAGCCCAACGCATCGTATAAGTCACAACTGTCCATTCGAACTTTTGCGTCGTTTTTCTCGAAACCACTTTTTTTAAGTCGGAAGTCACGATTTCTCGAAAACTATTGCGCCGATCGACTTCTGCGCTTGCACACTTCTTCTAGACATGGTTTTGTTGTCGTTGAACAAAGGATTTTTTTATCTTCATTTACAACTCATTTTATAAGCCAAAATATGGGCAAAAATGACGTTAAATATGACACTTTTTATAAAAAGCGCAACCAAAAATTCAACTCTTAATTTAAAAAAAAATCCTTCGTTCAAAGATAAGCCAGATACATACACTAACAGGAAAACATTGTTTTTTTTTATTTCCTATAAACATTGCCTACCGCAAGGACATAATTTCTTGTGGGGTTGAGTTCAAGCCTTTATATTCACTTCCGTTGCACCAATTTCAAGTGCTCGATTGACCATCGCAGGAATGTCAAAAATTTGAATTGGTCGGCCTGGATGCATTTGAATAAAATTTAATGATGGTTTGTTCTTTGCAGTTTTGAATGGGCCGAATACTGAGACATCGAGCGGTTGTAAGCGATGTGAGCAATGAGGTGGAAATGAGACGGCGTGAATGTCATTTGCTCAACAGAATTCCAAAGCAGCCAAAGATCGATGGCTTTCGTGATTATCCATTAACAAAAATACTGGCTGATCAGGCGAAGAACGCGTAAAAGCTTGAAAATGCTTAAAAAAAATCCAAAAATAAATCGGCTGTGATCCATCCTAATGGATTTGCACCACCAACACTACCGGCTGGCCCGCCATTCAAAATATGTTCTTGAAATCGTGCTCTGGGGAAAACGAAATACGGTGGCAAACGCATCCCTTTAGCTGACACAGGCAAAAGAACTGTAACTAATTTTCTGTTAAAAAAAATAACGCAAATTTATTTAAAAACAAACAAACAACAACAAACAAACAAACAAAATTAAAAAAAAAAATAAATTAATGAAGTAGGCGGTCGGATTTACCCCACTATTTAGAGGTCGGATTTGCCCCACCATGTAATTTTTCATAAAATCGCAATTAAAAAAGAAATTATGAAAAAAAATGAACCAAACTTATATGCACTTTATAGGACTTTATTCAAAGAATCTAAATCCACTTACCTTTTCATGCGATAACTCTGACAAAAAGAAATATCCTGCAGTTAATTATGCACAAAAATGAAAGTCAAAATTGGGAAAACAAACTTGTTGTCGTTTGACCATCTCAATGTTGACTAATAAAATGCTGTCATACCACCATTTTCCTTGTTTTCGATGCTCTACACGACAACACTAATATTAGTCTGCGTAGTGCTTCCGATTTTCGAAAACAGAGGGGGGTCGGGTTTACCCTAAATAAATAAATATTAAGAAATAAGAATAAGAGACAACACGTGAAGACACAAAATATACATATTAAGACATAGGAATAATAGACAAAACCTGAAGACTCAAAATATACATAGTAAATAAGAGACAACACCTGAAGTCAATAAAAACAAAGAACAAACAAACCAAAATAAAATGAAGTCCAACGAGCGCCAGTTTAATTTAAATGCGCGCGCGCGCCATGAGCAGAGACAAAGGGTCACACTGGCCCGCTAAGGGTCTGGCCACACTATTATGGCAAATTTCTTCGGGTGCGACAGCCACACTCGATCGCTCCAGAGCGCTATATAAGGCGAGCTCCAGCCCTTGGGATGGCATTCAGTTTTTGGCCAGCGATATTGGAAGACCTAAGAGCGTCCCCATCAGTCTATATCAGTGCTCGGCACCATCACAATCAACCAAAAAGCGCATTTGTGTGAGTGAGGTACGGAGCAAAAATGACGTGAGTGTGTTCCGTGTGTGTGAAGTTTACGCTATCCGTGTGCTGACAGCGCAGCCGGCAGAGCCTTTGCCTATCCCATGGGCTTGGGACGTGCCGACTACTGGTCTATATCTATATCGGTAGACCTAAGGGCCTCCGTGCACGTTTCAATCTTAGAAGACCTAAGGGCCTCTAACAACTTCTCAATCTTAGAAGACCTAAGGGCCTCTAACAACTTCTCAATCTTAGAAGACCTTAGGGCCTCTACAAACTTCTCATCTTAGAAGACCTTAGGGCCTCTACAAACTTCTCATCTTAGAAGACCTTAGGGCCTCTACAAACTTCGCATCTTAGAAGACCTTAGGGCCTCTACAAACTTCTCATCTTAGAAGACCTTAGGGCCTCTACAAACTTCTCATCTTAGAAGACCTTAGGGCCTCTACAAACTTCTCATCTTAGAAGACCTTAGGGCCTCTACAAACTTCGCATCTTAGAAGACCTTAGGGCCTCTACAAACTTCTCATCTTAGAAGACCTTAGGGCCTCTACAAACTTCTCATCTTAGAAGACCTTAGGGCCTCTACAAACTTCTCATCTTAGAAGACCTTAGGGCCTCTACAAACTTCGCATCTTAGTGACCTTAGGGCCTCTAAAAACTTCTCATCTTAGAAGACCTTAGGGCCTCTACAAACTTCGCATCTTAGTGACCTTAGGGCCTCTACAAACTTCTCATCTTAGAAGACCTTAGAGCCTCTACAAACTTCTCATCTTAGAAGACCTTAGGGCCTCTACAAACTTCTCATCTTAGAAGACCTTAGGGCCTCTAACTAACTGCCCATCTTAGAAGACCTTAGGGCCTCTACCCACTGATCTCTTGGTGGAAGACCTCAGGGCCTCCGCATATTGCACTAACCGGAAAGACCTTAGGGCCTTCGCCGATTACTCTCGCTCATCTAGGAAGCTAGGCCACTCGAAACCCCAGCACGGGAACGGGCCACGGACCCCAGGGCGACGGAACGCATCTCGAAAAGGACGAGCGGACGGCGGACCACTGGGCGACAAAACGCATCCGAGGAAGGACGACCCGAGCCGGCGTACGGCGAACTGGAGCAGATAGTCGCAATTGCCAACACCAAAACCCCGTTTTACCTCTTTGTATCCTTATCTACAATAAATTGTTTGTCCAAGTATAACCTAACTACGGCCTTCTCCTCTGGAACCCGGATCGAGAACTTCCTTGCAGCAACCACCTCAGACAACAAATAAATATCTGAGACGAACCCTGGCCATCCTTGAGCCCCGAGGTATGACTAACCGTCACAAAATCTACGAAAATAGGAATTTTTTAAAGCTTAAAAACCCGGGTAACCCCTTAAAGCGTTTGGGGTTTAGCATAATTGTTTGCGATAGTTTACATAGCTGACGTATTAGTCATGGCAAACTAGGTTTTCCGAAGACTGAAAATTGTATTACATGTGTAGACTGTACCAGGGTTATCATTTAACGTTGCCAAATGTGGGTTTCTCGAATCTACTACACAGTATCTGAGCTATGAGCTTACGAGAGGTGGAGAAATCAGACCCAATTCCTCGAAAATCCTTACGTTAAAAATCCGTTCTTTCAATCGGAGTAAGTAGTGACCGTTGTAAGACCATTTATTGAATTGGCGTCTTATTTTCATAAATTTGTGCCTCGATTCTCTCAGATCATAACACAGATTCTTCAACTTCAAGTATCTTTAAATGGAATCACGATTTTCCGAAATTAGAACGAACGTTTTTAATATAGTTGCAAGTAAGCCTGTGTTCGTCGTTTGTTGATTCGCAACATGCCATAGAATTATATACAGATTTAGGGTCTTGTGGATATGATGCAATCTTGGGACACTTGATCAATGGCGATCCCCTATATAAAATGAAATGTAACCATCCAAAGAACAGTCCAATTAGATATACATATATATTATGGCTGGCAACTTCAATAATAATATTCTTCGTGAAGGTCGTCTTTTGGACAGTTAGGAAGCAATTGGATTCTTTGTTATTTAAATATTTTTATTTTTTATTCTAAATGCCCAAAATACATATTGTCAAAGTTTTAAATCGATCATAGAAAAATTTACGAAGTTATGAATAGTTAAACGGCGATCGTTTAGTGTTCAATATATGAGCATCAACAAGTTTAAAGAGTCTGAAATCTGAAGTCTTCTTTTGAATAATGGTGTACACGATCATGACACAATTATAATTACATCATGTACACGATAACTCCAGATATACTGGAAGTTCAAAAATTTGGCATATCTTGTTCAATTAATTCCACAGGTACTGACGTCGGCCTTTTTTAACTTTTAATCTTATCTTTCAACTAATGAATTAATTTTTTTGATACGGTTTATTCTGGATGCACACTGCTGCATGCTGCTGCGAATCTCCCGAGCGTTCTCAAATTAAAAATTAGGTTAGCGGTGTACACACTGTCCTCAGATTAAGTGTCCTTACTTTTTATCAAAATCGGAAGTCGAATTCTCGATTGTTGACTAAAATATAGTGCCAAAATTTCAAAACGATGCGTTCAGTATAGTAGTAAATTTACAGCGGTTACATATACGGTCATCTTTGCAATAAAACTGTAATTGATAAATAATTTGTAATATTCATCGGCTGTTCACAAAACAAAACATCCTTATACTTTAGCAAAACAAAAAATAAATAATAATAATTACTAAAAACATAAAATGTCAATGAAAGGCATATTATTTTAATAAACTTGAAAATGTTATTACATCTATTTTATTATTTTCCACCCATGACTAGATTCCAACTCTTTAATTTCCGGTCCTATAATACACTTTCCATAATTTGTTGGCGGCTTCTTTAAATATTTGTCAACAGTGGCATGTAGCTCATCGACTGTCACAGAGAGCATTCGTGATCGATAGTTTTGAAACATATCTTGCGATACCGCATACAATAAGTAATCAATGCCAATATTTCCAGGTGCTATTGGAGAGTCCAACTGCTGCAGAACGCCCAGTTTGGCTTCAAACAATGCTTGTTGATCAATCACATTTTTTTCCAAGCATGTCCACTCATAAGTTTTGTCGAAAGTATCTAGTGTTTTCGTTGAATGTGGGTCCCGGTAACTATAAAAGCTAAAAATGCCGTCTGAACTAATCTTTGCTCCCGCTCCATAAGCCCCATTTTTTTCACGAACAACAGGCAGCAGATACTTAGCCGAAAGGAGCTTCGCTAAAACGCGCAATTTGGGATGGTCCGGATGCAAATATGAAACTGCAAAAAAGGCTTTAGCGCAGTAATTAACCGGTATATCCATGATGTAGTGCTGACAGCTTGGATCTAATAAGTTAATTTCAGTGCTTTCCTTAGTCTTATCCAGACTTGGTAATGTTTGCAAGAAATTTCTGTAGTGTTGTAATGCAGTTGCCAGGTAAGATTCCGTAGTGTTAATAGCCACTTTCATATTGTTCTTCAAAAATATTTTTTTTCCTATCGATTTTAACGTTTTACAGATGTCAATAGTATTATTGTCTTGTACTAGAGTTTTCATAAACTCTATATGATCTATTCCAAATAAAAGGGACTTAAGATTACCGGCATCGGTGACCAATGCATTTGCTCCCAACATGGCATACAAATGACCAGAACTTGCAACTCCCACTGATATATTCGATATATAATTTTCAATAAGCATTTTAAGACGTTCCGTATCCGTAAAGTCAAAGTTTAGCAATAACTCTTGACAGAAGTAAAAAAGTTCTTGAACATTTTTATCAAGGGCATAAGTGTCCATCATAACGCCGATTTTATAGCTCTTTGCATCTCTTACATTCTCGACAAAATTCAACTTAAAATCGAGCCCAGAGGTTTTTGAAAGAACCTGCTTATCAAATTCACGAAAATCATACTTACAAGTGCCCATGTTGTTAATAACATTACAAAACAGAGGTAACAACAGGGTCTCTTCTTGACTTAAACTCGATGCATTAAACAAGCATTTCAAATACGTAATCTCGTTTGTCGAAACTTTGCAGATCTGAGTCTGTACATTTTGAATAGTTTCCACAATCAATTTTGGCCATTTTGGTGGCTCGCTTACATCGTTTACGGTCAGACATGGTAAAATGTCCGTATTCGGTTTAAGCTTTTGAAAAGCATCCAGCTCCAACCCAGACTGAAAAATTTGTTTAAATTTTTCTTTGTCGAGAGCATCAGTTATTTGCCTTAGCATCTCTGACTCAGCCTGTTTAAAGTTTTCTTGATATAACGCATCAGGGGACATAGTTAGTGTAAGTCTATGTGTATTGTTGGCGAAATATTTCTGAATTTTCTCTTGGAAGTATGTCTTGTTTCGGCTTAAGCTGGTTCGCAAGCTTGATATCATTTCAGATACTCGAAGATTACTCACTATATCTCCATTATTGTTCCACAGGGCAGTAGAATTAAATAGCAAAGCATTTCCGAAATGGGGGCTCTGGTGTTTTAGTGACAACTCGAGACTATGCAAAATGCTTTCTACATGCTGGGATTCAAACCCATTTTCTATGGAATGAGCTATAGTTTGATCGAAGAGCTCGTTGAATTTTGTGAAATCTTCCACTCGTAAGTCTTGTAATCCAACGACAAAAGCTGTGTCCTTGGTATCTGATGAGTATCCCGTACTTCTATTGTAACCCCCGGAGAAATTTGGTTCTATAAGGCTCTTATAAAACGCAGAGTTAGGTCCACGGATTAATACCTCCGACAGAACGTTTAACTCAAAACTCTCTTGCAAGTTGGTCACATCGCACATTAGCATCGCAATGGCTATTTGGTTCTGTCGGTCAAAGGCTGCGCCCATATTGTCCAATCTACTGGAAATATGTACGTTGCGTGGTTGTTGCCATCGCTGTTGCCGTGGTATCTCACTATATGAGTTGTCAATCCCAGTTCTCTCTGATAAATACTCCTCATCGAGAAGTTTGAGTGTTTTAGTTAAATCAAAAGATCCATAAGAGTAAATTCGCGAGTTACTTGGATGATAATACTTTTGGTGAAATTCAATTAAATCTTTGTGCGATAATTTGGGTATCTCTAATGGATTTCCTCCAGACACGTTTCCATACGTGTGGTCAGGAAGCATGTTGTTTAACAGATTCTGACTAAAAATCTGCGAGTTTTCAGAAAATGCACCTTTCATTTCATTATAAACTACTCCTTTTATAATGAGCTTCGAATTGCAATCTTGTATGTCTTCATTTTCAAGTCTCCAGCCTTCTTGAAGAAAATCCAAATACAATAGATTTGGTCTGTAAAAATAAAAACAATTAAGCGTTGGACAATTTCAGTACTTTCAGTACTTACCTGAATACAGCATCTAAGTAAATTCGCTGCAAGTTTCTAAAATCAGTTTCATTCATGGTGGAAAATGGATATATGGTATAATCAGGACCGGTCATTGCATTCATAAATGTCGCTACGGAGCGGTTAAGCATTTTAAAAAATGGATCCCGAACCGGATAGTTTTTGGAACCGCATAACACCAAATGCTCAAGTATATGGGGCAACCCAGTAGAATCAAAGGGAGTTGTTCGAAAATTTATTGAAAATACGTTGTTTGCATCGTTTCTATCGATGTGCCATAGTTCTGTTCCTGTTTTTTGGTGCCGCAAGGTATAAGACGTAAGTTCGAAATCAGAAATGTACTCCACATGTTCGCATAGGAAACCATTATATACTTTTCCTTCTGCATACTTATGTTCACGTTGATGAATTAATTGTGGAACTTCACCATGTGTTTGGGAAGCTCCGTACCTCTCATATGTTGACACTGACTTGCAATTATGTTTTGCAATTTGAGCCCGCCAGATATTGGGTCGTGCCTTTCCCAGCAATTTGAATCGCGATAACATAGTCGTGTCTATAAATGACAAACACACAAGAAGGATGATTCGTATATGTCAGCAGGCTGTTTGTAGTTTTCTTTATTTGAATCGGTAAAATAAACACGATTCAATAGAAGTTACATCAGCCGGGGAGGACTAATCAAATGTTTGTTAGCTTGAATGCAGTTATCATATTTTGACAAGATTTTGGAGTCAAAACACAATTATGTACCATAAAAATGGTTACCTAAATTGTAACATAAAATTACGAAAACTTACCTATAAGTTCTAAAATTTAATTTTTTTCCATAATAAATGCAACATGCAAAATTAAATATGACCGAACTCCTATCCAAAAAAATATACCAACGGTGTGATCTCAAAAAAATTTATCGACTAACAAAAAATATTCCGTTCACACTTTGTCCTTATTTTGAAAACGACTGAATTAATGAAAATAACAGCGATATATTCAGCCGTATAAGATACGACCCAAACTCGAGTCTATTGTATTCTTCTATATTCAGGATATTTCGTAATACTGTCTTCCCACACAGCGCATTTGTGAGGAACGTTTGGGATTTTAAAAAAAATGAAACTCGTGTTCCCACACACCGTCAAAGCGCATTCACCATCCGAACAGCTTATTGATCAGCTGTGGCTCATGAAAACGTAAACAAAGGCTGTCGAATTGGCAGTTGCAAATTTGAAATGGAGCATTTACCAACTATTTTGGCTGTTGTACAACAGCAAAATGCACAGATTGCGTCAGAATTTATCCGCACTAAATTTAAATGAATGACAAGGAATTTTAGTTTTTCTTATGATTTTTCTCTAACAAACAGCAAATTCCCCGAAGAGTGTCTATAGGTGGTATAGGCATCCAAAATCTTTAAAATAAGGTAGAGGCAGGCGGTTTATATTAAATAGAAACAATTGGGGACATATCGGGGCAAGAATATACAGAAAAAACGCCAACAACGATTTTGGGCATGCTTGTAGCTTTGGCGCCACATTTTAAATTCCATATCTCATTTGTTTCTCGCCAAGTGTGTATACACTTTCGTCGTGATGGTAAAATTTTCAGAGTTTCACCGAAAAACTATCGCCTAATTATCGCCATACAAACCATGTTTAAAATTTAATATGTTCTAACGGCGGTCCATTTGGGAAAATTCGGAACGACAAAACCTTATGGACCGTTTGTTCAACGGACGGTGAATGTGCTTTGACGGTGTGTGGGAAGACCCTATTAGGGCTTGGAATCCTCTGATGTTGTCGAGGTCCATTGTCAGCCCTCCCTGCCTTGGCCATCTAATCCGATATTAAATATATATATTTTTTTTGATGACCCCTATAAACCATCGCTGGCTCTACTGGGGCGGCATGCTGGTGTAGGCGAATAAATTAAGTTTTCTTAAAACATAAAACAAGATATTTATTTCCTAAGTAAAAAAATGAACATATAATTGAGACATTAAACATAAATTAAACAACTGCATAATAATAAATAAATAATGATAAAGACTTCAAAAACTTCTCCTTACAATCAAATGAGTTCTACGAAATAATTATTCTTAATAACTTTGTTTTTTTTAGTGTGGCGAAGAAAGGAATAAAAGTGAAAAAATATTTTAGCGCACAAATAAAACAAATAAAAATTTGGCAGATTGCCTTGGTTCAATAATTTATTAGTTGTGCAATTTTCTCTTTATTTATTTTTTTCAAGCGTTTGGCGACATGCAGAATAAGGCTTTCTTAACTTGGAGAATTACTCCACTTTCACTCACTCACCCTTGGTACAGATCCATCGGCGAAAGCGCTTCCGACGAGCTAGCTAAAACTGAGGGGGGAAACAGGAAGAAATAAGGTCCCCAGTCGGACTTTTCGGGAGGACGCGATAAAATTATTGTGGAAATGGGAGGGCTTTTTTCGAACGAAAATTCCCTTTGGGGATTTTTATTTTTAATGCGAGAGAGAGAGAGAGAGAGAGAGAGAGAGATAAAGGGATACATATATTTTTGCTCTTTCCTTGAAAATGTATGTATTCGCGTTCCCGACATTAGCTTTTGATTTGACTCAGTGGCCCAGTTGGTAAGCGGACGGTCTGTGATTTCTGAGACATGGGTTCAAATCCCGACCGGGAACTAAGAAAAGTAAGTTTAAGTGGCTTTTAATAAGATTTATACATTAATATAAGTAATTTAATAACCATTGGAATAAATTATAATTAAAAATTAACAAATAAAAAAATAAAAAAGTTTTAATGATTTATTTTATAAATTTTTATACTCTCTGGGGAGGAAGAATTTCTTCCAAAATCAAATTTTTTATACTCTCTGGGGAGGAAGAATTTCTCCAAAAAGCCAGAATTTCTTCCTCACCCGAGCAGCGACGGATTCTTCGTACATCCAATTTTTTATACTCTCTTGGGAGGGGAAATTCCGTAAATGAGCTGATTTTTATACGCTCTGGGGAGGAAGAAATTCTTCAAAAGGCCAGAATTTCTTCCTCACCCGAGCAGCGACGGCGGATGCCAAAATACACGAATTACCCCGGCCACCCATGTATAAAAGCGAATTAGACTTTTACAGAAACGGGTAGTGAATCCCTCCGCCCGTTTCTATAAGAAAATAGTACTCCTTTCTTAGGGAAAAGTCCGACTGGGCAGCGCTGAGCTCGCTGGAGTTTGAGATCTTAAAATCTGGGACTCCCTTTTCCTTCTTAATGCCTTCTTAAAGCCTTCTTAATGTCTTGGCAGCGGCAACGCGTAGGATAAAAAAATCGGATTCCACTTGCGTGTACTTTGGCGAATTTTACTTGTACTTATTTGCTCTGCTGCCAAGAACCAAAAGAAAGCGGACTCAGCCTCGCATCCCACGGGATCCCTCTCCCTAGCTCTCACCCTCCTTCGGGTCGCAGCCGATCGCTGACATATGCCCCCGATAGAGGTGAGTTTCGCCCCTTAGCTCTGCTCTGCACCAAGATTGGAGCTGCGCTGATACTCCCTAGATGGCGCCAGGGAAGTATCTTTATATTGCCCATGCATCAGGCGTTACAAATGCACCCCGCTAAATATCAAACTTGGGGGTCAGACTCCCAAGATTGATACACCAAAGCCTGAGGCAGCTACTCATTGCCTCCGAGTATGACACGGGCCTGCTCCGCAAATTATATAGCCGCTCATTATTCTCGTTTTGCTTCTGCAAAACCTCCCGGGCCTTGGTACGCGCTATATCCATGAAGTCTTCCTTGTTCAAAGTCATAGTTTTATCCTCCAGCAATCCCAGAGCGCTCAACAACTTGTAGGTAGCTCCAGAGCCTATAAACTGCTAACCAAACACCATGTAGTACGGCGACGCTCCTATGGCAGAATGGACATTAGTTCTTAGAGCGCAACAAATACTGCTAAGTTTTTCATCCCAGTCTTTCTGATCCGGCCTTACATACGACCTGATGGCCGCGATCACAGATCGGTTGACCCTTTCTGAAGCATTTGCTTGCGGCGAATACACAGCTGTGAGAGTGTGGCCTATTTTGTGCTTCCTAAGAAAATCTTTAAAGATATCCGATTTAAACTGCGAACCATTATCCGAGACGACCGTTTCCGGGAATCCAAACGTAGAAACAATTCCTGCTCCATATATTTGGTAATTGCCTCTGCAGTTTGCTTCTTCATTGCCTTCAGGAATAAAAATTTTGAATAATGATCTAAGACTAAAAAAAAGGCGACATGGTCCTAAAAAGTCCACGTATAATTTTTGAAAGAATCTACTGGATTCCGGAGCCTTCCCCATCGGGGGTCTCTGAACCATATTCGGAGCCTTGGTAGCCTTACAGGTCTCACACCCTAAGACATGTGCCTTCACATCTTTTGCAAGTCCTGGCCAATAGTAATAACGCCTTATACCCTCCCGCGTCTTGTGGATTCCACCATGAGATGCTAAAGGATGGTCATGAGCGTTTTTTAACACCTCATTTATCAGGCTTTGCGGGATCCACAGCTTCCAACCCAATCTGGAGTGCAGATCGGTCTGCGACATTAGCCACTTTAAGGAAGCATGATCGGTGATCATGGTAAATTGGTGTCCTTCTATGTATGCCCTAAATCTTTTTATGCACATTAACACTGCTAAAAGTTCTTGTTCCGTTACTGAGTAATTCTTTTGTGCATTGTTTAATTTTTTTTACGCAAACGCAATAGGATATTCGTCCCCCTCAGAAGTTTTCTGAACCAGAACTCCTCCCACACCGGTATGGCTGGCATCGCAATGTACAAAAAATTGCTTCGTAAAATCAGGACTCAGAAGTACCGGAGCTGAGCATAATTTTTGCTTCAATTCCTCGAAAGCTTTCTCTGCTTGAGGTGTCATAGCAATTTTTTGCCTTGGTTTTAATAAATCTGTTAGCGGCGCTGCCACTGATGCAAAATTTTCTACAAATTTCCGGTACCAACCGACCATCTCCAGAAATCTTCTTAGGCTTTTCAGCGACTTTGGCAACGGGAACTCCTTCAATGCGGAAATCTTTTCCGTATCTGTCCGAATAACTCCCTCGCCAACAATATGTTCCAAGTATTTGACTGATTTTCTGCCAAACTTACTCTTTTCAACATTTAGAGTTAAGTCTGCTGCCTTAATATGGCCAGCAATCATAACTAATACCTTTATATGCGATTCAATCGTCGAGATACACGAATACCTCGTTTCTCAACTCGGCAGGGACGACTTTGTCCATAAGACGGGTCATTGTTTGGGACGCATTTGTAAGGCCAAAAGGATTTACTCGGTACTGGTATAGAGGCCTCCCAGGTATCGTAAATGCAGTTTTGTCTCGGGATGCCGGCTCGAGCGGGATTTGCCAGTAGGCATCCTTAAGGTCTAAGCTCGATATGTACATTGCCTTAGGGAGGCGGCCTAAAATTCCATCTATTTGTGGGAGTGGATACGCGTCCTTGCGGGTAACAGCGTTAAGATTGCGGCTTTATAGACAAAGCCGAACTTTTCCCGGTTTCTGGACCAATACTACTGGAGACGACCAGGCGCTCTCGGATTCCTCAATTACTCCCAATTTTAGCATCCGATCCACTTCATCATATAGATGAAAATGCCTCTGCTTCACCGGTATGGCATCTCCTATATCTATCGAGTGCGATAATTCCAATCCAATTCCAAAAACAAACTTGAACTTTCATAGCGAACGGTCGTGTTTTTGTTTTGCGCTCCGAACTTTTGTGTTGTTTTGCATTTAAAACCACCGGGGTCCAGATTTTAACTTGTTAAAATACAATATATAACTTTGCCGTTTTGCTACGCGAGTGCATGTGCAT